AGACTTAGTTCCACTTTGTAATAATATTGAAACTCTTATATATTGTGAAATTTTCTCATTTATGTACACATTATTTTGAGAAAATATATTGTTGTTGGACCAGGAATAAACATAAGGTTTATTCATTAAGTAATATTACCACATTAAGATTAAGAAACTAAATACATCGTGATACATGGATGATAATACTCGCTTTTAGAGGACTTATCGCTATGATTCGTGTATTTATTTCTTAAGAAAGTTGTTCGAGAAAGATTAATTCAAATTATTAAGATAAACGTATGGACCAAGTGGGAGAATGTAACGGTTATTATTAAATATCTTATTTAATAATAACGTAACCGTTCTCATTAAGATTCATAATTCATTATCATGAATTTCTTCATTTATTATGGTTTAAATGATTTCAGTTTTTTATTCATTATGCATGAAACCGTTATTATTAAATTAAATATTTAATATCATTAAGTTCTTCATTATGGTCCAAACGTTATAAATTTGAATTAATTCTTAAACATATGAGTTGGTGATGATAAATGTTCTTGATGGGAGAACATCTATATATACATGAGGATTTTAGTCCCTTGGCTCAATCATCTCTTTGAAGCGAAAGGCTTTCCTACACCATCTAAAGCGAGAGTTATGAGCCGAGAAGAACCAAAGTTCAAGAAGAAACCTCTGCAGAAATTCTTGGCGACAATGGCTGGAGGTACGCTATTTCGTTTCCGCATTAGTTTTATTGTGTTTCTATTACAACGATTTAGAAACACAAGTTAGCTTCATTAAAAAATCCTACATATACGTTATCCTGATGTACTGATGTTTGATTAATGTATGCTAAATAAAGCTCTCGTTATATTAGTCTGGTTGTCAACCAGATTATGTTTAATTACGTCGGGTCAATTTGGGCTTCGTTTAAGATTTTGGACCGAACCCAGCAGAGTCCGGTTTAATCGAGCCTGTTCTTGTTGGGCCGCAAACCCCACATAGCAGTTAGCATCAAGTATACGGCTCTCTTTCGTCCGATCTAAAATGGACGGCGGATGTGCCAAAGAAGCGGCTATATAAGTTCCTCCGTGCCGTGGCCCTCCCTTTCCATCCCGCCGGTTCCCAAACCCTAGGTGGTCGATCGCGCGGTTGAGCGGCGAAGATGGTGCGATCGAAACCATAGCCCTTTTCTTCAACGCCTTTTGTTTGGCAGATCTGATCTCGATCTGTTCATCTGTGTTGCAGACTTTCAAGCGTAGGAACGGTGGACGCAACAAGCATGGCCGCGGCCACGTTAACTTCATCCGATGCTCTAACTGCGGCAAGTGCTGCCCCAAGGTATTGCTCCTAGAGATCCTTCCTTTTTCTCTTTCTCTTCTTGCCTTGAACGATTTGTTCTTGCCGATCTTGGCTATTTCCTTGTGTGTTATATATTGGAGGGTTTAGATCACTTTCGGTTGCATTGTACAAAGATCAGATCTTGTCTTTTCTTTCTTTCTTTCTTGTAGACTCCTGTCTTGGTTTCTTGCTCGATCTATTTCTTTGTGTTCGTGCGACTCATCGCTGTTTTTTTTATCTTGAAGGACAAGGCAATTAAGAGGTTTCTTGTGAGGAACATCGTGGAGCAGGCAGCCGTAAGGGATGTGCAGGAGGCCTGTGCTTATGATGGTAAGCTCCGCCCTTCTTGCTGATCCTTGTCTCTTTAGAGTTTGTGTTCTCTTTTTCTTTGTTTGGCGCAAACATTAATGTTTTTTTTAACCAAAAGTTGACAATTGTTCTAAGGTTACACTCTTCCGAAGTTGTATATCAAGATGCAATACTGCGTCTCTTGTGCAATTCACTCGAAGGTTGTCAGGGTGAGGTCTCGTACTGACAGGCGGAACCGTGAGCCACCGCCGCGATTCAGGCGCCGGGTACTTCTCCGATGACGATATTCATTCTTATTCTTATGTTGTATTTCTGTAATAGTAATTTCTTTGTTATTATTCTTTTCCCTGTTTATTTTTTTTGGTATATATGCATGGGTGTTTCTTTGCTCGTGCAAAAATTAGGTATCACAGAAGTTCAATTTCAGTATAACCGGTGTTTTTTTATCTTGAAATTTGGCTTGTTAAATTGTTCCTAAAATAAAATTCTTTTTAGGTTCATGATGCTGTTTATCAGGCGAGTTGGCTTTGATTGTTTCTGTATTCTTCTTGAGTAATTTAATTTTTAGCTATCTGTAAATGCTTATTAGCATTATTTGGTTAAATGCACGTACCATCTATGTGAAGAAAGCGATTGTTGGGACAATAGAACAGCCCTAAAGTAGTGAGAAGTCGGATTTCTGTTTACTATTAACAAGTTTTAGTAAATGTTACCAGTGAATTTTTCCATGGAGCATACAATCGTCAGTTTCCTTGTCGTGTTAACTCAGTCATATTATAGTTGGACTTGCAATTCTTAAATTTAATATCAGTTATTTGTTGGAAAAATCAATTTATAGTTGATTTGAAATTATAATAGTTGGACTTGCAATTCTAAACACATATGGAAGGAATGAAGTGATTTGAAATATCAATTTCCCAATTTTTTTGATACTTGTCATCCAATTTTGGTGGTAATAAGGGGATGGTGTTACAGACACTTTCATATTTTACATGCGAAATCAATTCATGTACTGTTTCCTTGAGTTCTTCCATCTCTTGCCAGTCTGTTCTGGGATGTCAAATTTTTATCAGGGATTCAATTCAACACAGAATTTCATGCCAGCTACTGGCTTAGGCTTATATTATGAATTCCGCTGAAAAAATGGAGGCATCCATTTTGTTTTATGAATTATGGCTGGAAGCAGCCATTTTGTTGTATGACTTAAGGCCTTTTTGATGCCATGTTCTGGTGCATTAACAGATCTAGAAGACGCAAGGCAGTTTCATTTTACCGATTTATAATATTGTAATATCTGGCATTTTTCCTATAAGCTTACAATCCTACTAATGTTTGTTTCAATGAATTCCGTAGTGAGTTTGCATGTGCTTAGGAATATGAGTGGATTGTTAACCGAGGCTTGTGTTTCTGTTTCCCTTCTGGTTTAAATCATTAGTTATTTGCTGAAAATGGAGCATAGAGAATGGGGATTTATTAATGTTGTTTACGTGGAATAGTGCAAGCCTATTTGGCATAATCATTTGCCATAGTAAATATGTGTGATCCAATTTTTTTGGTGTATCAAAATGTCATAATGGTGGGATAGCTTTTTTAGTCGGTGTCACTAAGTTGAGTTAATACATACTCATCCAAAAGAATAATCACTATTTTTGGAAGAAAGAAAATGGATTTAGAGATCCCCTGTGAAATTCTTGTAAGCAGGAATATTAACCCTAGTAGTAGCAAGTGTTGCTCATTCTTTATTACCTCTTAAACCTGTATATGGAATTCTTTCAATATTTATGTATCTACCATAGTTTCAATGAGGCTATAAAACAACATTTAACTTTATGCATCCGTCACAGCTTCAGATGGTGATTCTGATGAAAGTTACCAAGTGAATTATGACTTGGTACTATCTTGTAACAACGGTAAGAGTGGTTCATATACTGTGTTTTGTTTCATAGGATGCAGAGCTCACGGTTGGGTGTTGTTTTTGGCAAGATGTTGGATACGTGTATAATGTATAGGAATTATCGGAATATGAGTAGCAATGTATAGTGTATAACCGTAGGGTGTCTCTAGCGATGTGGCCTTTCGTTGTGTTTTCCTTTACTGATACTTTAGCTGCATCTGTCACCATTTGGATATTGTGGTAACCATGTTTCAGTCTTGCATAATTTTGTGGCAACTAAAATTCTTTTTCACTCCTGATGCAGGATGATCTGGCAAGGCCCGGGCAAGGACCTCGTCCGGCTGGTGTTGGAAACCCTCCCCCCCGTCCATGAGTGCAATGGTTTTCTGATGAAAAAAATCATTATTAGAGCCTACCGAGGGTTTAGGATGTGCGAACAGTTTCCATTTAAATGTTCACTAGACAAATGGTCTTTTCTGCTGCTGAATTAATGTTACTTTTTGATGGTTGATGAAATGCCTTGTGCTATGTGTTCCCTTTTTAAACGATTTCGTTGAAACGTTGAATTAGTATTATAATTTGGTTGGTACCCTGTCTTTTTCTTTTTGTTGTAGTTTATGATGGTATTGTGACAGAAATTAGTGCTTATTTGGGATTCTCAATGTTTTGTGTGCCGAGCGGCCCGGCCCCACATCGCAAGGAATATTGCCTCCAATAAGAAGACTGGTAGATTATTGTGATAACTACTTACGTAAGACATGTATTTTAGATTGCATACACGTGCTCTGTCAGAATACATTAGTCTAAATCTACCACGTGTGAGCATTTGAAAAGGAATCGATGCATATTCATGGAAATCCAGAACATTGCTTCAATGAAGCATGCAGTAGATTTGGTACTATGTAGTTTATTTGGGATAGGAAAGAAGAAACAAAATAATGAGAGTGAATGATATCCGACAATTAATTCATATGATATTTACGTGTTAATTCGCATAAGCGAACCTACTAAGTGTGATGTGTTGATCTAGTTGTGCATATAATCATTTGCTTCTATGTAGTTTCCCTGACCATGTTAGCGATGTGGGAATCGCAAGTAGAGAAATATGATATAATTCGTGTATTTTGTTACTATTATTTTGATATTGTGATTACGGAAAACATAGAAGCTTGTCCATGCCAAAAGCCCGATGAACTAATTTTTTTTTAATTTATAAAATTGAAGATTTTGAATAATAAAATGCATTTAAATTGAATTAAGATTCATATGTATATACATATATATCATTAAACAAATACAAACATAAAGAACACGGCAGTTTATACGTCCCTGTGGTTTTATTAAACGCCAAGCCCTTCACTGTATCATCGTCCGTTCCCTTCTCTTTCCTCCCTCCTTCGATCGCCGATCGCCCTACCAATGGAGACTTCACCGGCGAACCGTCTTCCCGAAGCGGATTCTTTGCCCGACGGCTTCGTGGAGGTCTCCGCCGACCCCCCGTCACCGCCTTCCTCCGACTACAAGGACGCCTTGCTCGATCTCCATCCCTTCAGCGAGCAGCTCGTAGCTTCGCCGGCGGAAACCCTAACTACGGATTTTCTGGTCGATGGGACCGAGAAGCTCGATATCTCGGGCGACTTCTTGACGAGAGGGGACAATGTCGGCGACGGCCCTGATTCGGTTGCGCGGGATGGGATCTTGGAGTCGAAACCGGGCGATGATGTCTCGAAGGAGTTGAGTGCACCCCAGAATGAGGTCCTGATAGGTGCATGTTTGCAAGGAAGAGCCCAAGGGGACGGCCGGAATCGTGAAACGGGTGAAAGATCTTTGTTTTATCTCTTGTCATCTGGCTACTTTCTTTTTGGGTTTCTGTCGGTCTACCTTGCTAGCTTTTCTCCTTGTTACATTTCGTGCATATATGGGAGATAATGTATGCCATGGAGACACTAGAACATATTAGTTAAAGGGAACCTAGTTAAGTTACACGAGAAGTTTCTTAGTCTTATCATTAGCTACAACCCACTGAGGTGTTTTATAAGGCAAATCCACTGTTCTTCAGAGAAATCAAATTAGAAGATCAATCACTGAAAAGTGAATCCGCTATTGATGTCTGATATAACTAGGAGGACTTAGGACACAATTAATAGTAAATAAAAATAGGCCCATCAAAGTTCCATTTATTTCATATTCTCATTTTTCAGACAAGATGATGAACGAGGTATACAAGAAGAATAAAAGAATTCTGATGAATAAACTGAAATGAGTGAGATATTTAAGGATTGATCGGTCAAAAGGAGAATATTCCCTTTGTTTTGTCTGTTCGACTTTGGTGTTCATTTGGCAGAACACCAAATTGGTTGTGAATGTTCGGTGATAGACTAGGTGGATTTCTTTGCATGTTCTGGTTGCATTAGGTGAATCCAGGATCCAGAAGCCAGAGGATATATCGATGTACTTTGTTTGATTTTATGGCCCTTTTTTTGAGAGCTTAGGGCATTGGGTGGATGGGCAGGCAGGAAAGATTATTACACTTACCTAGTACCTATTAATTTTAATCAGTGATTCAGCATTGGAGATGATCACAAATGAATGAAATCAATGGATGAAAATTCAACACTGTAAATTAAATGTACATAATTTGGCATCTTGACCACAACACAATGCACATTAAAATTATGTGTTGGTAAATTTTAGTGATACTGGGAAATTTTAGAAGTCACTGATACAGTGCACATTAGAAGCCATGTGATGGTAAATCTTAGTAATACGGGGAATTTTAGCATTCAATGCATGTTCAGTATAGTGCAAAATAATAATGATGAGGATAACAATTATCTTGTATCTTAATGATGTAAAGATTGCTTGAGTAAGGCCTTAAATTGATGAGAGTTTTTCTTGCTGCAAACCAATTGTTGAACCAGGTACTGTTCGTCAGCTTCATCATCTAAGCCCTTTTCCAATGTCATAAGAGTCTGCCAAAGGCTTGTACTGAGAAATGAGAAGGTTTCAACTTTCAAAAAGGGGCTTGGTTACATACGTGGAGTGACTTCTATAATTTTGCTGGTGCATGTCTGTAATTCTATTGACAAAAATAATGTTACTAAGGAAGACCTTGTAGATATGGTGGTCTAAGGAAGGTTTAGCTGAACCTGCTACCATTATAGCTTTTTGTGTAACAGTGTAAGTATGCTGTACATGATTGCTTTGGAATAAAAATTCAGCAGGCTCCATATCATGCTGCAACTATGATGTCTGCAAGTATGGCTCTATGAATTTCTTTACTATCTCTATTGCCTGGTCATGCATGCAGCAACACACTTGTTTCCTTTAATGTTCAGGATGCAAGTAATCCTAGCTATACAAAGAAACTGACTTCCTATGGATTTTGCAGAAACTAAAGGCCAGTTGGAATTACATGCCACCAATCTAAAGGTAAGATATATAGCAGCATATGCTGAATGTTCAAAATCATTTGTGTTTCTGTAAAGCTTCAAGGCATGAAGTCGATCATCATGTTAGTTACATGCACATTAGTTTTCCATGTCTTGAAATTGTTAATACTGATCTCACAGATAATGCATCTTTACTCAATCACATAGCACTTCTATTTATGTTTGCTTTCAAATGTGATTTTTTATTTCTCTATCATGTGCAAATTCTTTTGTTACCTTTCACTAGAATATTCTTTTGTACATGTCATTTATTGTGTCAAAATGAAGAAGTTTTAATTCTACCTTCTTATTGCATTGATCCTTTCAATTGTATATTGAAAGAGTAATAGATATTGCTTATAGGAAAATGAAGAACCAATATATTAATATGGTCTTTCTGTAAGTAGATCTAACTTTGCTTTGTTACAATCTTCCAAAAATTGTTTTGCAGCTGTATAAATTGTTTGTATGATGAAGCCTGGTAGCTTGTTAGTTCAAGGCCTTGAACCTCCATTACTAAGCTGTACCCTTTGATTATGTCTATTGTTCAATTAGCCACTTTTTATTAAAAATGGGGGAATAGGAGTTCAAATATTTATCTCTATGTTGTCAGGGCTTCCTTATCATGGTTTTGCATTATGGCTCAATTTCTATGGAGTTGTAAACACATTATGATTCTAAGATCCTTGGCTGCTGTTTTCGCTTCTGAAACTCTTGTTGTTAATATGTAATAGGTTTTGATTCCTCTTTATTGGATGTAATGTTTCTATCAATGCTAATGCCTGTAAAATTCACACACACACACATATATATACATATATATATATATATATATATATATATATATATATATATATGTGTGTGTGTGTGTGTGTGTGTGTGTGTATTTGCAAGACTTAGTTCAATTCTAGTTGTTCTTTGCAAGACTTGCGTTGAGCTATGTAGGTATGGTGATTAAACTTAGTTCTTCGGTTACTTTGTTTGTTACATCTACTTAAAGTTCTTTTATTCCAAAACAATAAATATGAAAACCAACTTCTTACTTAAAGAATCTTAGGAAAATGTGTGTCGTCAAGCTTTCTAATTCATATCATGAAATATATGCATTCAGTCTCCTAATTAGTTTTTACACTTTGGTAAATATTATTTTCGAATTTGACCAAAATTCCCAGATATCTGTAGTTTTCAAACAAGATTTGACAGAATTAAAAGAAAAATCAGCCACACTTAATGAGTTGCAACTTTGCATAATTTAGCTTGCAAAATCATATGCAAAATGATTCTTTCTGCTTTTGGTAATATTAGTAGATTTTTCTAAGCATTTTAAATACTTTTTGCATTGTATAAAATATAAATATCATCTTCTACTTGATGGTCTGATGGTCTTTCAGGAAAGCAGTGAAGCAAAACGAAAAGTTGGAAAGCGCAACACAAAGTCAGAGAAAGAACTGCTAGGATTTACTTTAAAATATCAAAAAGTTATAGCAGAGAGAGATGCAGGTTCGTATTAAAAATGCTACATTATATGCATTGTAATGGGCTGACTCAGACAAAGTGCAGTGTGGCTGTCCACTAATTTTTAACATGTCATGAAATTTTAACCATCAACTTTAAACTTATAATACACTTCATTTTTGAGTTTTTTTTATCATTTAATTCACATAAAAAATTTCTATTAACTATATGCTTGTAAAGACTGATTTGTATGGACCATCTATTTATTGATGGTATTATATTTCTTGTATAGCATTAAGTTATGGGAATGTGAAAAAAACGAGTAAGTTGCATACTTGCATTAAGATATTAGTATACTATCTTATGGATCATTGTTAGAATTGTTGAAGGGGAAAAATTGAGGATGTGGAGTATTTCAAAAAATGCACTGACAGAAGCAATACAAATAATGGTGTTTCATAATATGGATAGGGCATTTAAAATTATGAAGTTATAATGGTTTCTAACTTTCTATTAGGATTTTTAATATCGAATTGTATTGTCCGATATGAGTGGTACATACTGGTCCGTCAGTAGACCGATAAACGGATCACCTGCTACCGGGCGGTACCATTGATATAGCCTTGTATCGGACGATACAGGGCTGTATCGGGCGGTAACGATTGAAATTTCGATCGTTACCGCCTGATACTTAGATCCGGTCTTAAATTCGGCCAGGTTACGATAATATTCACGATTCATGTTTAGGTAGAAGACCTTGGAGTCAACGGCGGCGACGGGGATGAGGTGGGCATCGAGGAGGCGAAGGATGGTGCCATAGATGGAGTTGAGCTCAGACTCGATCCTAGCGCGGTGGCTGCGAATATTACTTAAGTCATGAGACACCTTTACGGCAAAGTCACGAACTTAGCTGAAGTTGCATAAGTCGTGAAGCACCATTGCGCTAACTCCTCGGACTTAGCTACGATTGCCTAAGTCATGAGGCGCCCTGTGACTTATGCGTCCTCAAAGGTTCAACCTAGTTACAACCTCGTACAGGTCTCGAAGGATCTGTAAAACAGTAAGTTGATTATATTGAAAACGAGCGACGGACAAGTCACGATGTTTCGTTAAAAAGGAAGCTTTACAAGCAATTCAACAAGCACTTTGAGTGTAAGAGAGAAAAGAGAGGAAGGAGAAACCAAGGACTTTAGAAGGTAGAATGAATGGTTGCAAGTCCACAAATAACAACTGCTCACCGGGTGCCGAGTGCGAAGGCAAGTTTCCGTCAAGTTAACGTGCGAACTTGTGAAGATTATTCAACGCCCGACAATATACCGAAGCCCCATCCAGCCCTGTGCCACCCGGGGGGTTCCAGGGTGCTGAGATGATTGACATTTCATGTGCAGAAAATAAGCCGTGACACACGAAAACAGAGTCATTTTAGGGCAGTTCAGCCTGGCGCGGCTAGCGGTCGTACTATAGCACTGCAAACTGTCGTTGCTTACATTTTCCAAGCAAAAACACACAAAATCAAGGCACAACATGCTACCATGTCTCTCTGTACAAGCATGCAAAAGCGACGAACGGTTCGTTGAACGAAGTTGTTGTGGGTGCGCGATGACCGTTCGTGACAACGTGGTCATGGTTTCCGCGACCCTCCTTCTGCTCGATGGAGACGATCCGGCAAGATGCGCGGCAGGCGGCGATGACGTTCTTGTAGGCGACAGAGAGGAGGTTGTGCTCCTCCACCGTGTGCTCCTCCCCCTCCCTTGCTACAACGGTGACCTTCTCCATGTACTCCATCTCCTTGTAATGCTCTGCCTACTCTACCAACTTCACCATGTACACGCCCTCTTCCCTCCCTGTTGCGATGTACCTACTTGTTCGGTGGGGTCCACCAATTGACCTCCTTTTTCAAAATGCTTTGCGTACACCGACAACAATGCTCGCTTAGCTACCCTCCGACAATTGGGAATGACCAAGGATCCACTCGCGGAGCCAACATCTAGTAAGAACAATCTGCACAGAGATCGTAAGCGGACCGGTGGATGTCGTGGGTTTCTGGGATTGAAGTTTTTATTTTGATTAGTACTTAATGAAGTCTACGAAGGGTATTAAAAGAGCTCAGCAACTGGAGTAATTAACATGAAGCACAGAGAAGAATACTCAAGATTAAAAAGGAATATTGACTTAAAGAATGCTGACCTTTTTGGTAAGAACTATTGTGTTTTTCTATTTTTCAAATATTTTCAGAAGATTTTATGCCTAATTTAGGTATACCGCTTGGTATGCCCCAACGTATCGCTTGGTACACCATACTGTATCATATTGAGCAAAACTTGATACACTGGTATGGTATGAAATTTTAATTCTTGGTTTCAATAACTAAGTTTAGTTTTCATCTAATGCTAGATGGTTACAAAGATAAAATTTATGAAATTGGTTTAACTTGTAAATGAAACTATATGGTAGTCTAGCATATCAATGGAGGAGAATTATGAGGTAATATGTTCCTTTTCCTTTTAAAATAGTGTCTTATAATGGAGATCAATCATACATTAGATGGTAACAGGAATTATATGTCTATTCTGGATAGATTGGTGAATGAGTTCATGTCTTCGGATTAATCAGATCTAAGGATGGAGATGCACATCTATGTTGCTGTGTCAACCTTTCTGATCTATGTGATATTTAGTTGTTTATTTGCTTGCTTGATTGTAGCTTCCTCTTGCAATTTTGTCCACTTCTGTCCTCCATGGCAGGTGCATGATTTATTGTAATGAAAGTTAAGGGAGCCGTTGATAAGCTTCAAATATGTTTGTAACTTACATTGGTAAACTCATTTTTTTCCTTTTCTGCCAACTTCGTTTCCAAATTTGTAAAGGTTAATCATTGATCAGGGATGGCCATTATAACAGATATTCAGTTGGTCATTGAAATACTGTATGACCTCATTGTTCATGTGGTATATACTGAACAAACAAGTTAGTGACAAGTGACAACTGAGAGCACCTTTTGACTTATCGGCTTGCTATAAGGTGTCTAGGATTTTCTCGTCAGGAAGATTTCAAACATTGTTTATTGTCATTACAATGCTAGATGTACAGTTAATTTCCTAGGCCATCTTGAATATTGAGTTGGTCATCTTACATTCCAGTTAACAAGTTTTATCGTCTTAATATCCTTTGGTTTCAGTGTCTATATTCCATTCCACTTGCTCTATCCTAAAGCATCCTGAAATAGCTCAAAAATTCCTAAATAGTTCTTAGAACATTTAATCTCTGTAACTTCAGGATGATAAAAGTTTCTGATGCAGCCCTGAGACAGTCAGATAATTGATGCCTTTTCTAGTGATTTACCTGTCAAAACATGTCACACTTATAACATTTAACTTCAGCCATCATTCAAGTGTGATATCAACATTTGACCTTTTTTTCTTGAATGGCTTGTTTGGACATCTACTTTAATGGACTTGGAATTAGAGATACCTGCCAGGCTTATTTGACCATTTACAAAAATGGATTTCCAATGTTAGCTGCTTTGGGTAGTTGACCTGGGACATGTCAAGACCATGGTATGCAGTACCGAATGGTACCGCCCGATATGGGCGATACGTACCGGTCCGATAGCATACCGGTACGCGGACCGTCTT